AGCCGGGCACACCTCATCAGCACCAGGAGCAAGAAGGTGGTGAAGGTCAGCTGGGGCAGCAGAGCGCAGGGCGGCAGGGGGCCAAAAGGGCATAGGCAGGGAGGGAGATAGGTGGGTGGGGGGAGTTGCAGTGCCCCTGCAGTCATAAGTACAGGCAGGCTGCCAAGCGCCTAACTTTTAATCACGTGACCAGAGGGGCACCGCAACAGCTGTAACTTCAGGCACGGGTCTTAAGTCTCTTCATTCACTGCTACTGTAACTTCAAACGGTCGTTGAACAAATAGTTGTAAGTTGAGGACTACCTGTAGATATAAAAACTGTACGCTGGTCTTCTTAAGAACCACTGCAAGGGTTTTGCATGTCAGGCTTAACTGTGAAAATGTTTAAAGATTCAAGCAAAAAATTCCTCAATTGCAGTCCCATTTGTTTAGGGTCCACAGCTTCTGGCCTCATCAGCTATCTCAATTAATCAGATAAGAGGACAGCTGCAAAACATACAGTTGAGACACAGTTGCATCACATCTGGCTTGCAAGCATGTGATAGCCACCATGTGTTCCAGGGGCATGAGTCTCTCATTGTTTTACTTAGTGACCTTTCCGGGTAAGGTTATAGCACACATGCCCGAAAGTGTCTCTTGCAGAGAATCTATTTTTTATGAGTTGAGTGATATTTAAGTTCTTGAAGTTAGGGACGTTCTAAACAATTGTCTTATTGTACATGCTGAAAAATTCATTTGTTACTCAGCTGCTGCAACTGAGGAACTGGGGGTGGGAGTGGCAGGAAACGACATTTTCTATAGCAATTTCATTGCACAGAAATGCAATCCACTAGACTCCATTCAGTCCCAACCTGGACTTGCAAACCATACATGGAGATGGACTGCAGAGGACCAGAGTCACACAGCTCCTTCCCACACGCCTTGCACCATATTTTATACCAATGTGTTTATTTTTTTAAAGCAGACCCAGCCCTTGCTATGCCACTCAAACATGGGACAGCCCATCTAGGTTTGTGTGGAAAAAAGAAACAAGGTGTATAACCACAACATATCTTTGCCTTTCTATTTCAATATTTTTCTCTTGCTTTATTTCCTGATTTCCGTTTAAAAAGCAAAACAAAATGCTACATGCACTTCTTCTCTGGCAATTTATTTTTTATAATTGATCCATCATATGCTACCAAAGCAGGTCCAGTCTCAGCACTTTTGGGCAATTGTGAAAGGTCCACAGCATTAACCTGTGCCCCACAGTTTCCATTTTTCCTACATTTTTTTGTAGCCGCTATAGGAGATTAAAAATTATGCTTTGTAGCCATCTAATGCTGTGGCAAATAAGCCATGGCTGGGGGGCACCAATTTGAGAGGGGACACACTGATAGCATTTTGTTAAGGACCCCCCTCAAACCTGGAAACAGCCATGCTCAAGGAGAAGACAATGTTACACACCAAAATGTATGGTGGTTAAAATGAGTAGTGGATAAGGTGTTGGACTGGTACCAAAGAGACCCAGTTTAAGTCTACCCTCAGGGACAGAAGGAAAGAAATGATAAACCACTTCTATGCTGTTGCCAGGAAAATTC